AGGCCATTATGTATTTTACATTAAACTCGATGGCACTACTGTGTACTTAGTGAGTAGCTTCTATAAGAATTACGCGTTCTTGACTGACGTCACCAAAGGTTAGTCTGGCGGTGCTAAAGAAGCCCAAGCGAGATAAAAATTGAAGTTCCCATTGGATTAAAAAGCCGTTTGTGAATCTCATTTTCATCATGAGACCTTCTACTCATTTTGTGCTGTTTTACACAGCCCAAGGTATCTATCGATATTTACTAAGATGACTCATCCGGTATATCATCGTACTCTGCTCTATTGAATACATCCAAGTATTGTGAACTGTTCTGTCCCACATCAAAAGAGGCACGACGATGATTGTATGTCAAGGTCGTCCTTGGCGCTTTTTGTAGGCGTTCTTCCACTTGGGCGGCACAGATTTCACTGAAGTGTTCGTGTACCAAAGACAAACTCTAATCAAAACGATACTCATTTTCTTGTCGCGGAATAGAGGCATTTGGATAGACGCTCTTTCAACAGCTCCAATGCAGAAATGCCGTCTCAAACCACGTCTCACTAGCCCTTCGGCCAATCACAGATTTGCAGTCTGTAGAAGCAGGACACCATCTCAGGCACACACTTCAACAGACAGTTGCACATTAAAGTGCTTCTCAAGTATGACAATATCATTTGTTACCTTGAACCATATCCGATTGTTCGGCATGTTTAGGAGTACTTGCTGCAGAACCTGAGGCGTAATGAATTCTGTGACCAAGAAAACGATTGTCGAACTCTGGAAATGCAGTAAAAAATATCATTTTCTAACATGCAATACTGAAAGCAAGAACTTAATGTTTTGCAGCCTTCCTTACCAGAGAAATGGACAGCATCACGGCGGTTATCGTGGAGGTGACTTTTCCACAGTTGCACGGTGTCAACGTCAGTTGTATGCTGAAATAAATGAACGCCAACACCTGCAGAGAGAGAGAGCAATGGAGACGAAAAAAGAAATAGACATGATGTGTTCTTGGCGAGCGAAAAGCGGTAATTTGTTGAATGGATAAAGAGATTGAAGAAAATCTCGTTGAAAGACTCGAGGAGCAAAGAAATACGGTTGACGCATCATCTCTCTATGCCATGTTTCTTAGCAACTCACTCTTAGCCTGAGCGTATTGAGTTTATTGCCTGATTTGAGTTCTAGTACCACCCAAGCAAAACTAGAATTCTATGCTTCACGTGAGCATATTTCTTAACTGTCGCTAATGCTTGAATAAAAAATGAGTCCCCCTGGGTCACTTAAAGTGATTCAAGGAATTCTATTTGAGTTCTCCCCAAATTCTGCTCATAATCTTACCTCCTAGTCGTTGCATTGCCTTAAGCGGCCCAGGGTGACTAAGTTCATACTCCGAAATAACTCATCGTTTCGAGACGTACTCATTTCGAATTAAGTAGCATCGTCTATTTTAATAAACAAGTAAGTCTTGGGGAGAATTCTATTTCGTATGAAAGTGCAGGATGAAGAGAATTGTAGGCCGATCTTACTAGGAGAAGACGACCGATTCCTGTTGTTCTATAGCCGTTTGACGCGGTCCACTATACATCTTCCCTCGTTTCGGGTGAAAAAGAGCCGATCTTTCGTCCATCATATAACGGACACCTTCAGAGCTGAAACTCTTTCTTGTAATAATTTAAAATTGACAATCGACCACATATTCAGCAAAACCCAATTGCTCTTCGCATCTATGACAAATAATTGTTTTCTTCATCAACACTCTCATGATAAGTGAGATTTTAAAAAGGTCTAGATCACATTGAAACTCGCATCTGTTCTGTGACCGATTGGTACAGGTGGCGACTGTGCTTCGGAATGACAACGTGCTGCCACAATGCACGGGATCTGGTCTAGACGATGCCGATTCGAGTTTAAATCTACAACTCAGGTTAATGGAAAAAAGACTTTTTGGAGACAAGATTATGTGAAATTCGATAGTGTTCTGAGGACTTTTCATATAACTGAGTAAGAACTCCACCGCCAGTCCCTAAATCACCTTAAGAAAAGCTGGTTTTACAAAGATTTTACTTACAAATTTATGGCTATTCTCGAGCAGTATAATGCAGTAAATAAGTTGTCATGACTTTTTTGTAGGGATAAGCCTTCTCTGCAAACGAGCCCAACTGAGAAGTCAACTGAAAGGATCCATAAGATGAGAGTAACTCGAAGTAACATTCATGTGAGTTAGCATAAAAGAGAAAAAGGATTAGCTCGCCTCAACAATTGTTGTGCTCTCAAGTCATGTGGCTTGGTTGCAGGGTTCATTATAATCGACGACTACTTATTTCTGATGTGAGTAGTTTGTATTCTATGCTATCGGTGATTCTTCAATTGGCAATTGAGTAAGCTTGGGCAGCTTAAGGTGATTTACATAAGGATATTAGAATTTTACACAAAAAAGTTAATTGGGTTAACGGTGTTACTGTAATTTGGCATCGTCTTGCCTTCCGGCATTTCGAATGGACTACAGTTTCCAGCACTCAAGACGGGATTCGAGACCTAGTCGTGTCCTTATTCGTCTAGCCTTCTACACTTGAATCATATCAGAGAACTCTCAACCCAAGACAAGGCTATGCGGGCGCTTTCTTTTCTAATCGGTTGCACCCGAGATTCTACTCTGGCGCCGGCACACTAACACATCGATTGTGCATTGTTAGGCTCACTTTTGTCACTAGTTGTCAGAAAAGAAGGAGACAAGGCGCTAGGATGCGAAGAAGATAGAGGAAATAACACATACCAAATCGAAGGCCGGATATTGGAGAAGCTTTTCCAGGTCGAGTTGACCATCGATGAAGACCGCTTGGTAGATGGCCAAGATCAGCATTACCACGTTGACGGGGCGAAAAGAGGCTCGAGCCAGCCGGAAGACAAATTGTGCAATTCCAATCGGTTGTAGCAGGTCCATCTTTGCTGCAATCCACTCGACGGCTCATAAAAAACTTGTCTGGCCAGTCCAAGAGGGATTTGTTTGGAGTGCAAATTCCAAATCTACAGAATGTCACCGGTCAGTTGTGCACAAACCCGCAGGCTACAACTATTTATTCCCTCAGAGAACTCCAGACTTTTCGGTTGACAGCCACTATCGATTATGGACGACACATAATCAGACCGCGGTGATATAAGATTTCATAATCAGAGTCTATTAGAGCGATGAGTTGGGGAGTGAAGGATGTAGATGTGGGTCAAACTGTGCCGCCATGGCTACGTATGAAATAATTCTAAAATTGTGCACACTTTTCCCCCCGATCCTTTAAACCGAAGGTTCTGAAACATCCAAGGACCATTAAGTCAAAAGAAGGGTAGTTGAGATCTTGGTCTCTGAAAACGGGCAGCTAACACTGCAGACGACAACAGAAAGTTTACACAAACAACCCGTTTCACTTCGTGTATGGTGGGTGGAAGAGATTCGTAAATTGGCCTCACCGAATGCCGAAGGAGAGTTGCGTTGGGCTTGTTCGAAGAGGAGCTCAGTCCACTCGCCCATGAACTAGATGAAACCGTGCTGACTTTTTTCCGTTTTATGACGGACATCGGAAACCATTATTTAGGAATACTCACCAAGACACATTAAACCAATTGAGGTGATCGGCTGAGATTCTACTTACTTATTGTACCTCACATTGCGATCTTTGTGAGGCATTCCACGATTTGGTTGACTGCTTTCTGCTTCTCCAACATACAAGTTTGTGAGTGAACTTGATGCAGGAATGGGAGCGGATGTGATCACAGCTTTACTGTACTTGACGGAAC